TAGAAGCCTCCCATTTCCTTGAAAGAGTATTGCAATCCTATCAAAACTCTGTTAAGTTACTATGCTGCTTATTCACATCAGAAAAGTTATAGTGAAACTGCAACAGGATATGCAGTCAACAAGGTTAAGTGATCAATAGCAATAAGTGCTATGTATCACTATAACAATTCGCCTTCAAAACAAGGCAAAAACTATTGTACTACTTCAACTTTTTGCAAAGCATGACATGTGTCACCCTTGTGCAGCTACAAGTGGTAAATGTTTGTGGAATGTAGGTGAATTTCTGCTTTATAAATCACTTAAAGGTAGGGTAGGTAAGTTTGAGAAACCGGCTCGAGATCGCTAGAATTTGAAAATACACAACCGGAGAAAATCTGCCACTTCCCTACAGAGCCCCTCCTCCAACACACACGAACGCGCACATGACCAATGAGGGCACGAGATACGTTTGTGCACAGATGGAAGGCTGACAGGCATGTAGGCCATCCAGTACAATGATTGGTCGTACTTTTTACAGTATTACGGCTTCCACAGATGAAATTTTTTTATGGATTTTTTGTCAAAGCACTTAAGATATTCATTGCTATCGGGATGTTAAGAGCATTCCATGGAATATAACAAAAAGTGTATCTCGAGCCGGTTTCTCAAACTTACCTACCCTACCTTTAAACAGTTAATCAATCATCAAAGTTGTTGCCAATTTTCTCTCAATAGACTACTTGTTTCAGCATTAATTGAAATGTCACCCATTCCCTGTTAATATTGAAGGGTAATGTGATTTCATTAACCTTAAACCTTGAATCTACTGCCAACGACCTGTCTTTCTCATACAAGAGACTTTCGAAATAAGTACAGTTCCTTACCAGTTAAACATTCTAATTTATACAGTTTGAAGGATATTGAAATAGAAAAAAGTTAAAGGTTGTAGTGTCTTGTCTCAGAGGAAAGTCTGGATTGACTAGCTAGCAGTAAGCCGATGTCAACAGCTGCCAACAGCTATTATACAATATGAGGCTCTCCTGTGACTTGTGTCACCCTACAGAGATTGGCTAGCTCTCTTAGACCTTGCCGCCCTCAGGAGCGAAGAGTGTCCATCATATTCATAATTATCTGGAAGGAAGGTCCATCACCATCACATATTAGCAGCACACAGACGGCATGGCAGTAAATAATCCCTTCATTTCAGCCAGAGGAGGTCAGGCAGACATAAATTTAACACCGAGCACTTTAACATCCTGTAGGGCAGAGAGGTTTCATCATCTGAAGGATTGATACCTTAGATTCCCTTTTCCATCCCTCCATCTTTTAGCCAGAGCCAAGATCTCATCCAATAAGTACAGCGTTTTTGATTCATACACATCTGAATCCAAGTGGATCCAATGGAATTCTGAAGAAGCTGTTCTGACGAGCAACAATTTACCGCAGAACAACATCAAATGAGTTTCTGAGCCTTTCTAACAACAGGTCGTGCTCTGCTATTAGGAAATGCCTTTTTCCAATCAGACCAGGATGATTGCCAGTTAGGAAAATGTTTCACACCATGTTTAGAAGCCTATGCATTGGATTGAAAACATAACATTTCCTGACCCTTACATGCATTTGAAAACTCACAATCACATTTTTTGACATTTACTCAAAATAAAATAAAGCATGTTTTGTTGTATTTCCTGCTTATATTGTAGAGTGAACAAGATCTTGCATTAAAATCCACCTCAATGAAAATGCAGGAAAATATGGAGGAAATGTATACGTCTTAATCCTTATAACATTTGAAAAACTACTGATTTAAGTGTTGGTATATTTCATATAGAAAAGTCCAACTAACAGGATACACACATCCCCCATGATTTGTTATTTCATGTGTTTTAAAAAGGAGATATTTTAGCCCTTTAAATGTCAATTACTTTCTGTCCTCTCTTACACTCCCTTCCCTCAGCATATCAGGGACTTTCTTCTCCGGTTCTTCCTCCCTCTGTTTGTTTCCCCCCCGCCTGACATTTATAAAGTGTGAGCTTGGAGGAGGCTCTGAGCGGCGGTGAGGAGCTCTGTCTCCGGGACATTGGGCGTCCATGGTGCGAGCAGCTTCGGATCACTCACTTAAACAGCTAACATTTCAAAGGGGCAATAAAAAGAGTCCTGGTCCCTCTAGAACAATAAAACAGTGTTAGAGTCAGGGGTGGATGCACTGTAATACAGACATATATTTCTCTGCCACTGCTGCAGCTGCTGCGCTCAGCACCATGAGATAGACTGAATCAAAGGACGTTCACAGCAGTGATGAGTGTGAGCGTGATTCAATGTAACATCCAGGTGTAACATTCACCTTCTAAGCATGACCAGAGGATAGCAGGTGTACCTGCAGGAATAAGGAGGTTATTCAAGTAATGATGACCTTAATCTATGGCTGGGCGGTATTGAGAAAAGTATTTTTGGATGACGCGGTTTTCCATGTCATATAATGTGGATATATCAGAATCAGAATACCTTTATTAGTCCCACAGAGGGGAAATTTGCAAGTTAATACTGTATTAACTTCAAAATGATGTCACTTTACCTTGAAAAGCAGGAAAAACACTTACAATAACTGAAATATTAGAGAATATCTAGTCTTTCATCACACCAAATTATACAATAATATACATTTTATTTAAATAGTTTTGGCTGTCAGTGCAGCAACATGAGTCCTCTTACAGTCTTTAAAGGGCCTTCAGAATTTCCATTATTTTAAATAAAAATTGCCTTCTTCAAAAGACAAATCATGACATTTATTCAAAGTACTGTATGTCTGAACACAGAGCGGAGAGTTTTCTCCTCATACGACATGATGTAAATCAGTGTGTGGGTGTTAATTTGTTTCTGTCCTCCTAGAGCAGGGACAGGGATGACAGTTAGGTGATGATCCCTCATGTCTGATCCATCTCACGCCTCATTTCCCCCGCAGAAATAACATTGAACAGGGATTTAGCCAAGACCTTGACTTGACTGCCAGCCTGTAGAGAGGAGTGTGCATTGGCTTGGCTGTGTCTTTGTGTTGTAGTAATTAGAACAATAGCCAGTGTTGAGACCTACTGTATGTGTGGTTCATTGTGCTTTGGTTTCTTTGGTTTTTGTGAAATAGTGGATAGAGGGTTTTTGTGTGAATCAAGGTTGAACCTCATGCAATCCTCCCTGAAATAAAGAACAGAAAACTGAGATGTATTGGATTGATGACTGCCTTTACATTAGATGCTGTTTTTCTGTGTTGATCTCCACCACCAAGAACAACACCCCATCACTATACTGTAATAGATGGACTTAATTACCAAGTCTGAGTGCTGACAATGAGTGGCCCTCCTGTACTAAGGTAAAGGAGCTTTGTTCATAAATGCTGTCGCTCGCTCCTACTAATTCATCAAAGGAGGGAAGGCCCAATGGTTGTTTTTCGAACAACCTAAAAATTGCTTTACATATCTTTATGAAGCAAGAAAATAAGAGAATAACTACCACTTAGTCAATGTAAGGGAATAATCACACCCATGTTAAGGCTCATTAAAGCGTTATGTTGCTTTACGTTGAGTTTTAATGTGTGACCTATCTTAACATCTCAAGCTGTTCAGACAAACCACTTTCTTTCTCTGTCTTAGGTTTTATTTTTTTCATTTTAGGCTTTAGTCAGTTCATAAATGTAAGTGTAATAAAGCTAAGTCACGTTTTTCTCTTCATCATAGCGCTGCTCCTTGTCCTAGTGTCAGGTCAATCTCTCGAGATGAATGGAGAGCATGTAGTCTCAGAGGTTATTGAGGACTTCATCATATCACGCCCTGAGCTTGTCTTTGAGATATGGTGGCATTTTCCACCCCAGTAAACCCCTTGTTTCTCAGGGTGTGTGTGTGTGTGTGCTTGTTCTTATGCATAAGCATGAACATATGTACATTTATAATATGCACTTTAACATAAAGTACCACAGCGGGAGATATTGCCTTTCTGCTGTAGCCTTGTTGAACCCGCGTTGACTTCCCCGCAGTGACAGTTGTGCTAACAAACGTAGATGTGCTTTGGCAGCACTCCCCATGGCTATGGATTTGGAACAAAAAGGAGATGCTGGGACTAAACTTTAAGAGTCTTTCTTTTAGGTCTATCTTGTTCCCCCATTCTGTATTTGTTAGCTTTGATAGTTGCTGCGTTGTCGGAGGAGATTAGGCAATGAGCTCCCTTCCTGTGTACTCTCAGAGGGTGGTCTCCTACTCTGCCGTGATCGGGCAGGGACATCACTTAATGATTTATTCATACGAGAGAGTTATTTTCACATTTTGTTCTCTCAACACCACGCTTCAGACTTGCACGTAGGTCTTGCTCCCTCCCTCCCACCCTCTCGCCAACGCCTCTGATGCTGTCATCAGGCTCAGTTGATAATAAAGTGAATGTGCGACGTGATACAAAAGAAAAGGAAAACCGGCTTCCCTGCTCTCCATCATGATCAAGTCCCTCACAGCATGGCACAGACGTGTTTCGCATAATTATTGATTACAGTGTGAAGAAAAAATGCTGAGTGCTGATGGTGATTAATTTGTGGCCTCTCACTTCCTCTGCTCAACCTCATCAGGCAAAGCCTTGCAACAAATCAGGAGCGAGACGCCCAGTTTGGTTTGAATCATGAGCTTTAATCCCATAGCAAAGGGGAACAAGAAGCTTGAAAGGGTCTAAATGAGGGTGTTTACCCTTTGTTTGCTGTGGATTCTAGGATTACTTTTAATTAATTGGACCCCCTGCCCGAAAAGCTGTCCGACAAATTATGCAAACAAAAAAACAACAATTTTCAGATGAGTAAACACTTAAGGAAAGACACACTCACACATGCATGCACAAATACAAATTATATATCCCCTCTTTTCCTCTCCTCCCTCTATAAAAGACACAAACACATTCAATCCAATTTACAGCTACGATAAAAAGGCTTTGGCTTGTATAATTGAGGTTAATCAAATGTCTTTTCTTCCATATCTGTGTGTTTCCTCCTGCAGGCAATGCATGCACCATGTCGGAGTACAACAGGCTGAAAAGCATGCTGCTGGATATGCAACCAAAAGTGCTGAAAGATGGAGGGCAGAGCCAGCAGAGAGACATGGAGGAGAAGAGAGCACGGGTGGACACCATGTTCAAATACCTGGATGTGGACCAGGACGGCCGGCTGGTCAGTGGGGAGCTGGAAAAGGTTGGTATCAAGCTGAATTATTAGTTGATCCAATATTAAAAGGATAGCTGTATGGATTGACAAATGACTGTTTAAGATATTTTTTTGTACATTTATTTTTTTCTGAACCTTACTTTGTTCTCTAAGAGACCTTGTGTTGACAACAAACAACAGATTAAACACATTTGCAGTTTAGGGATCACCATCATTTTTTAAGAATTGGTTATTATTTGAATTAAGTCCTCTACATTGAAATGTTAACCTATATCTGAACACATTAAAAAACAGTTGATCAGATATTTTCTCATTTGTGTGTCTCCCTCCCAGAGTTATTACTATTACCTCAACTATGGTACCCAGAGACGCGTTAAAATCTGATAAGATGCAGTAAAGTCACTATTGATAATCCTGATAATGCTACATTTTGAATCTCAAATCTGTGTTGAAATTGGCAGGACAAAAGCAAATTTATGTCAGCTGTTAGCAGCTGGCGGGCAGAACTCTCTTGATTGGTTAAATAACAAAGCTAGCAGCTAACGTTAACAGTTTAAAGCTTCCTTTTAGATTCCATGTAATCCTCTTTAACAAAGAAACATGCTAATTGAGGTTATCTCACCACCAGGGTCTGAGGGGGGAACTGTAGAATGGATTGGCATTCACACTTGCCGAGTGAGGAAATTAAATTATTGTGGGCATCATCTGGTATCAGGAAATGGGCATCAGAGATAGATGTTAATTAGACTTCTTTGAACCAATGTTGTGATCTCAGTAACTTCTGCCAGAATGCAGTAAACCATTGTAGAGTCACTTCTGAATGCAGTTGTATGAGTGCATTTTCAAAGGCTTTACAATCGAATAACATTACAAGTGTTTCAAATGTGTTGTAGCTCTTTCTAATTATGGGAGAATTTAAAGAAGTGGCTATATGATACAAAAGAAAAAACAGGCAGCTCAAGATTAATAAGCGCCACTAAATGTAGTCTCATAAATGCCACAATGTTTCACATTTTGTCATCTCTCTGCAGATGTGAATGACAACACACTTTGACTGCATGTAGATTAAAAAGATGATGTAACTTCTTTGGCCAAGTTCCAGCAGCATATATAAATAATAAAATCCCTCTCTGACAGAGCTGCACTAAAAGATCCATCAAATGATTTTGATCAATCACAGCTGGCAATTACTAATGCTGAGATGTGGCCAGGAAGTCTTTTGATAAGACATTCTTATCCTGCAGGAATTCATAAATGCGTTTTCACAGAGATAATGCTTTTAAAGACCAAAGCAATTCAAAGATGAATTCCAGTCATCCATCCAAACTGTCTCCATGTTCACATCCATCTTTTATCAATAGAGTCTTGGAGAGTAAAGTTCTGTACTTTGGTTTGGAAATGTTTTACTTAAATGCCTAAGGACAGATCAGTCTGTGTCAGGGAACACATGGCTGCAGTCTGCTGAAGGCAGCAAGGATATACAAAGTTTGTCGCATCCCTTAATCTGCCATGTCACATGTGCAGCTCCATACAGAATCAATTGGAGGAAATATGTAAGCTCAGAGGCTGTATTTTTAGGCTTTGAAATCATTGCAGAGAGAATTAAACATTGAACTTACACTACATAGTTATAGTCTTGTTAGAATGACTGCCCTTAAAACACCCGAATTAAAGAATATTAATATATACAATGAAAAGAGCCTTATTGTTGGTTAATAGGGAGGCTGTGGCTCAGTGGATAGTGTGCTGGCCTTCAAATCAGGGGATAGCAAGTTCGAGTCCCACCGCAGTCAGCATGTCGTTGTGTCCCTGGGCAAGACACTTCACCCCAAATTGCTCCTGTGGGGATTGTCCGCAGTACTGAAAGCGCAGTAAGTCGCTTTGGATAAAAGCGTCTAACAAATGACATGTAATGTAATGTAATAGGTACAACTTTAAGTTCATTGTCCACACATGCTGCTTTAGGATATATATATATATACTGTATATAGTGATTCTTGCATTGATTTGTGCCCATCAGCTGCCTTTCATTCCTGTTAGTTTTGTATTTGACATTGTCATCGTACACATTTTTCCTCCATTGCTCCACCCAGCTTTAACCATATTTTGAGGTTTAAGTAGTGAGTATTTGGGGTTTCTAAAAGCAGATTAAATGTGATTGAAAAGTGAAAGGTTTAGCTAGTAGAGCTTACTGTATACTGTTTATTCATTAACTGTTTATTTTGAAGTGTAGCCAGGACCCTTTTGACTATGAAACAGTCTTTTTTTTCAGCTTTTGAAACCACAAAAATGAATCGATAAGGCTCTTCCTACGTTCATCTAAAGTGGGACCCAGGTACCCCTATTCTGGCTCTTAAATGGTAGAAAGAGCTCCCAATTGACTCCAGGACTACAGAAGGTCTACACATGTTTTCCTCGACTAAAAACCCACGTTTGGTTGCAAAAAAATATAATTTTCATTTTTGAATGTAGCACTTACAATGGTTTAGCTTATCTAAAGCTAATGTACTTGCAGGATTCTTGCTATTTTGGGTTTGTCTTCATGGTTGAATGCACCCATTGTAAGTAGCGTTAGATGAAAAAAACATCAGCTAAATGAAATGTAATGTAAAAAAGTATAGGGGCTTAGAAGAAATGATAGTACATTGTGTCTTGTTTATACATAAGGACTTTAACTTGACAAAGATGGACCTGCTTTCAGCATTTGTCACTTTTATTAGTTAAAGCTATTCCTTTTTACAAAAGCAGCAGCATTAACACAATTTACTGCTGCTAGAGTTAGTGAGCAGAAGCTCAGCCTTCTGTTTATCTCCCTAAAACTGCTTAACACTACCTATTCAAAGATGGTTCCCTTGAGGAAGGCACAGCGCTAAAATGGAAGAGAGGGCTCGTAAATGACAAACAACAGAGGAGTGAGTGGTGCTTCTTCCCAGGGGAACAGCTGCGAATTAAGTCAGGTGCAGTGTGCACAAGCATAAACAGTAAGAGTGGAGATTTTCCTAAAATGGAAAACAATCAGAAACAGCACTTACAAGACAAATTATATATTTTAGCCATCCCATTTTAACAAAAATAAATCACACTCATAGTGAGTCACTTTCTGTTTTTCAGGTGATTATGTTCATGAGGCATTTTCTGTCTGATTGAAATCTAATTATAATTGTGGGTGGAATACAATATTCACTCTGAGCACTACTTATAATGCTAAATGTATTCAGGCAGGCAATTAATTTGAAATCGCTATTGCTTCTGCTAGAAACCCAAATTGCCACTTCTTGTAGTACTTGGAACAGCAAAATGTAAAAGCTTTCAATAGGAGGCTGTTCTGAATATAGCAGCAAAACTTCCATTTAGATAATAACTCAACAGAAACTCGTAAGGTAAATACAGAATGCATGCAAATGTATAGTTTTATCCATCTGTTGATTGTAAAATCTGTTCCAAGTCCTCCAATTGTTTCTGTTGCTACCTGTTCGTTATGATTCATTACACGTGACTGATTTGCAAACTCATAATACTAGTTATTCATATAGTCATATATTTATTTCTGAGTTCTTTGTGACTCCTTAGAACATATACAAACACATCAGAAGCATCAGAAGCATAACTTGACTGAAATGAAGCAGCACTTGAATGAAGCATTAAGTGCTGCTTCAGTCACCAAAATTGTATTTCCCCAAACTCAAAATCACTGAAACAGTCCAATCCAGATTTTACCAGTCAGCCTTGGTTTGTCTTCATACTTACTTCTCTTGTTTCATTTGTAATAAGTCAGCGGGGGCTGGAATTTAAATGCAATGTATAATTTTTCTTCAGAATTCCAGATGTTCATATTCATAAAAAAAGCCCAGACAACCTAATAGAAGTATATTGAATTGTTAAATGTCTGTGGTATCTCCTCTTTTAAATATTTTAGATTTACATTCACAGGTAATGTGCATAATGTGGTTCTATCTCCCAGTAGATTAGAATGAAAGCGTAGAATAAAAATAATGAAGGCATGGGAGAAACTCTAAGTAAAGGTTTGATAAGGTATGACAAATGTGTAGCTGTGTGTGATAGTAGCCTATATCATCTGGCTTTCCCACAAGTCTTTCTGCAGTTTCTTTTCATCTCACGTTTAAAATGTAACTCTCCATGTGTGTTTGTGTGTTAGATCTCCATGAAGGAGCACCTGGAGGACAGCCTGCTGGAGTGCACCATGCAGGACCTTCTGCGTTACGACGACTACAACAACGACAGACACCTCAGCCTGCACGAGTTCTACACAGCTTTCCGTGAGTCTCTAGTCCAATTATCCCTATTTTCTTCCTATCCCTTGTTCTCTAAAAAAACAAACCAAACAAAGGATTGTCACTGAAGAGAGGATTAGGGCCACATGTGAAAATAATGAAAGTTTTTCTCTCAGAAAAAAAACACTTTTGGTTTTCATTTTTGACAACACTTTTTTCACAGAATTTTGATCTTGACTTTATTCTCCACACTAAAATAAAATTCTCCATTTTGTTTTACACGTAGACCTAATCTTCTTCCATACAGACTCAATGTTATCCTGTAAAACAATACATTATACTTTAATGTCGGGAAACAGTGAACATCAATAAATGTATTTATAATTAACTCAAAGCCTATTTACAATGACTGCTGAACCTACAAGTTTGCACTTTTGTGTTAATTGGTTTCCTTTTTTTGACAATACAATCAAAAACACAGCTTTTCTTTCAACACTATGTAGAACCGGATGACCTCCCATCCAGTCAGCCTCTCCACAGCAGCCATCAGGATAAAAGTGTTTCAGCCATGGATAAATTGATAATTGAACACTAGCCACTGTGCCCAGACCCAGCCATGATTATAGCATCTGGTACAGCCGTAATAGCCGCTGGGGTTTAGGCTGAGCAGCAGCTGAGAGCACACGCAGGTTCCACCTTATTAAGACCAACAACCACTATTCCACCACTAATTGCAAGTTGCTGCAACTCCTGTTTCAATACTTTTTGTCTCATTTGCAATATGCAGCGAAATAACCTTGATGTTAAACCAAAATGGCATTAAAATCAGCTGAAGTTGATGAAGCCAGCAGTTAGCTGTGACAGATAGCCATTTCTAAAGCTCTACCTTCAGCCTGTGCAGCTCCATTAGGCTTCACCACTAATTCAGCCTTCTATTGACTGGCTTTAGTGGGAACTATCCTGCTATTATTCTGTTACACTGCCCTCTTCTTCCAGATGGGCAGTTATCAGACATTGCATGGCCTGCTTCAGCGTTCTAGGTCGTGTTTGTCTATGAATTGTATGTTGAAGCAATGGGTTGGGAACAATAAAACAAGCTATTGATCAGATGACGCTCAAGGTTAAGTGTTGGGCTGTAGAAAAGCAACACCAAGTGGGAGTAATTATTGTTGAGTGGTGCATCTGGTGTTCTCGATAATGTTGATGGTGTTGAATTGCCTAAGTTTGTGTGTAAGCGTGTGTGTGTGTGTGTGTGTGTGTGTGTGTGTGTGTGTGTGTGTGTGTGTGTGTGTGTGTGTGTGTGTGTGTGTGTGTGTGTGTGTGTGTGTGTGTGTGTGTGTGTGTGTGTGTGTGTGTGTGTGTGTGTGTGTGTGTGTGTGTGTGTGTGTGTGTGTGTGTGTGTGTGATTCCTGGGATGGATTCTCCCCTGTGAGTGGTCTGGGAAGCAGAGCAGCCAGGAATCACAGGTGTGTTTAGCAGGGTGGAAATTTGCATTATGGTCATAAGCTTGGAAAATTGAATATTAATGATAATCTAAATGATGTGAGAAGATGAAATTGTCTGATCCAAGGGGAAATACATTTGGAAATCAAGCTGTATTCATGTTATGAAGACCCTCTAACCCATAACACGGGAGTTAAAAAAATGAACTTGGAAATCTCTCTTTAGTTTGAATGACTCTCCTCTGCTGATCCTCACTTCTGTCCTGCAGCTTTGATGTAAGAACCAAACCATATCGGCTGTTTCCCAAAGAGGAGACTCCAGCATCTTTCTTGCTCTTAAGGCCCTGACACACCAAGCAGTCACCAGATAATTCGCAGACGCCGACTGTTGCGTCGCCGTGTTCTCCTGCGTCTTGTGTCGCACTGGAACACACCGCAAAGACAAAAGAGGCAACAACCGGAAGACAGAGAAGAAGAACAGACTGCGTGATCTAAACAAACAACAAATAGCGTGTGCGTTCCATTTTCACTCTCGTCCATCGAAAACATGTTTCATGCGGTACTGGAGCTATCAGCCATTGGAGTGTTGCTTGTGGAAGACATTCTCAAGCAACCGTTTCGCTTCTCATGCACTGATTCGCTAGCTGAACAGCCAATCAGAGTGATGTCTTTGTCCGACTGCCTGTGGCCGACGCACGGCCGATTCAACATGTTGAATCGGCCGTGCGTCGGCCATGAAAGGCCAAATAAGTCGTGTCACGGCCGACGGTGCGGGACACACCAAATTGAGTTTGGGCGACAGGGCACGCTTCGTCGTCCGACTAACGAAAACGGCCGATTTCGGCCTGGTGTGTCAGGGCCTTTAAAGTCACTGAACTTGTTAAGAAACGCTGATTATGGGGTTTTGGCTGCCTCGTTGTCTTTGTCACTGAATAAAAACCATACAGGCACACAAAGCAACCCAAGTCCATCTTTCTTTCTTTTTTTTACCACAAATTGAATAAAAGGGAATATGCTTGGAGTATACTGCTGAGATGATTGCATTATTATTGATTTTTCATCTTTATTCTACCTTTTACAAGGCCAGCAGCTTGCTGGAATGTACTTTCTTTTCTTTGCTCTACTCCCTCCTTGGCACCTGTTTTAAGTAGAGTGTACTTAAACACCTATTTATTTCAAATGTACATGTATTTTAGACATTTAGATAGTGTTTTAGTGAAATCAAGAAAAATATGGAATCATCTTTCATCTCTAAATGATTGAATAAGTAACTAGCAGTATGTCATGTAGGGTTACAGTCACACAATGAAGAATAGAGATTTAACAAATATTTCTTGTATCCTTTAGAAAGTGCATTTAGTTCAACTGATGGGGATTTCACAATTAAAACAATTATTTTACTGGCTTTTTTCGGTAGAAAAGGTGAAGATAAACAGGAAAGGTGGAGAGAGAGGTGATGAAAAGTGCCGCGGGTTGCATTCAAACCCAACCACTGCGAGAAGAACAATTACATGGGGCTCTACTTGATGGGCTACCTTGTTACCCGCAATCAAAATGGTTATGAGCTCAATCTTTTATTTTGTTCAGAGATGCCTGTCACAAGTTTCTTAAGAGTTGACAAGCGCAAATTGCTTGATTTTCCAGGCAACCAAAACCCAATGATAGTCCTTTTACATTTTGCATGTATATTGTAACAGAGAATGACCTCTTATTTTATGCTGCAAAAGCAGTAATGAACTGTTTTAAAGCCATAGAGCATATTGAAAGACAATTAACAGCATAATGGCTATATATATCAGCTCTGTTTCCTAACACATATTACAGTGTCAGCATTATGGGACAGTATTATGGGACAGCTTTTGCACGTGCCCTTTGTATCTGAATTAGAAACTCCGTAATTACACATTAACATATGTGAAGGTTTTTGCTTTGCCGACGTTGGCACTGATACCGGAGCAGAGATTATTCACAATAAGCGCTCTGTAAAATACAACAGTGAATAAGCAGTGGAGTCGACAGGTGAGTGGCTTACTGGAGATATCTCAAACCTGCAGATATTACGGTCACACAAGGTCAGAGCTCCTAGGTGGATACATGTGTGGTATATGCAGGGGCCCTGCGGTGATACATGGACTGCATGTGCATTATGTATGGAGAGTAACCCTTTGTAAATGTGTAGTCAGAGATCTGCACTAGACTTCATAATATCATCTTTCACATATCTGGAGATCTAGTGTCCTGTACAGCAGGGCTGGGCGAAATGGAAAAAAAGAAAGATCTCTGTATGTTATAGGTAATTGGCAAAATATTGTATATTTAAGTATTTTCAAGGAAGTGGGCTAGTCAAAAGCCCCATGGGAGAGGTCACAAGCTCTGTTACCTGAACAGCAGATCAAAATTAACTGCAAAGGAAGTGTTTTCTTCCTGTTTCAAAATGAACAGATGCAAAACATACGTACGTGAGAAAAATATGTGAGTGAGAGTTGGGGCACAGAGAGAGAGAGTAATAGAAGGGAGAGATGGAAAACTGGGGTTTCTGCAGATTCCTAAAAGTCTGAAAAGTCATTGAATTTTTAAATCTTAAAATCAGGCATTACTTGATAAACAAGTCTGAAATCATTTTACAGAAAACCTAAACATTGCTTTGACATGGGCATTGTCAAATCTGAAAAAATGGTGGTGGCAGATATACATAATGGGAACATTCTGCCTGAAATTGTTCTAACATTCAGGGAGGCATACAAAAAGTCTTAAAGCTAACTTGCCTAAAGCTGTGTCCTTATGGCTGAAAGGTGGACAGTGTAAGCACTATTGGAAAGCAGTGTTAGCTCTCAGAAAGCTTTAATTTACTGCCAAGAAACAAGTGGCCTTGTTGTGTTTTTATGATCAAAAACAAAATAAGTAGTCTTTAATGCAGGATCTTTTGGACTGTTGGAGACCCTTCAGATCCCGCAGTGATCAGCATGTACAGTAAGCAGCCGAGCAAAAATAAACAACAATGGTCATGAGTTCAAAATGACTTATTTTCATTAAAATATGATTTTAATAATTCCCCAGTTTTCTCTCCACTTTAAAATGTTTCTTGTAGTACAATACGATATCATACTACTTTATTGTCAGATCAGACTTTTCGTAAAGCAGCACAGCAGAAAAATATTTAAAGCAAGAAGCAAGGGAACAGACATTTAACATAGCATTGCCATCACTGGTTATATGTATGTGCAACACCCTTTAACATGCACTTAATCTCTACTTCAATTTAGGATTGACTGGTTTGGTATTTTAAATGTATGTCAAGGTGGCTGATTCCTCTTCAGATTGATGTATAAAGTTGAACTATACAGTTGTGTATATTAACACAATCATTAGTTGTTAGGTTGTTAATGAGCCACTGGTCCTGCTTTAAATGCAAAAACACACAGCTGGTGAGCATCTAATTAGGAACAGGAGAGTCTTTGTCTTGTTACCATTGTTCCTTTGTCTTTCTCCCACATGCAGTTCTTCCCCTCAGAGCTTGTTCAAATTATTTTTTCTCAACTTCCTCCACTGTGGGTTTGTATCCCATGAGTACTATTAATAGAAGAGTTGTGGCAGGGCCGCTCA